ATGTTGGCAGTTTCCTCAAAAAAGGCTTGAATTCAAGTTTTAGATTTGCGTGGTTTTTTTTGAGTTGCAAAATCCACTTGAACATGACGCTGCTTTTTTCGAAGTTCCTCAAGAACCATTCGAGCCACATAATTCGTTTTGGCATCGTTGGATAGAGAATTGAAAACTCGATTCAGTCGTAACAACGTCAGGAAATTCGAATAGTTTGGGCCCAGAAAGCGAAATTTGAATATCAGACACTTAGGTGCAAGATTATGCCAAAATTTCATGTTTTCCGTCTCGTTTTTGCTCATTGCCGCGAAACACAACTCTTGTAAAAAAAATTAAACCGTTATCTTCAACCACCTGGCAGATCAAAAAAATGCTTATCCTTTATTTGCATCTGACTTTACTCTATGTGCCATTCTGCATAAATTTGATGATTTTAATTGCATAAATTTCCCGAAGCGCCGCCATTGGAATATCGCCACCCATGCTTTTCCCTTTTTATTAGCTACAGGTCTGCCCTCTATGTGGCCACTGACAAAACCCCTTACCGGAACCTGCTTTTCAAAACTGACATTCGCCATAATGGCGTCTTTCCTGTCTTGTTAGCGTCTTTTGGCAAAGTTATCCAGAAAAACTGACCCAATTAAATGTTTACAGACGAAGCCAGTGCGTGGATAGCCTGAAGGACATCGCCGGTCAACTGGATGGCCAGTGGGTTTCTTTTCAACATGGACATCGACGTGAGTTTTTAACTGTTTACAATTTATAGGTTAAGGTTGGTGGGGCTCATCAAAGCCTCTGAGCGTGATTAAATGCATAATTCACAGCGTCACTGGCTTCTGCTCAGGCTAGTAATTAAGTAGATTTTTTTGTTAAGCCCCGTTCGGGAAAAGTTACCAACGGTCCACCTAGATGTCTCGGCTTGAAACAAGTCCTCTAACGACTTGACATATTGTCTTAACCTAAACAAACCGAGGAACTGCAATTGTTTAACTAATCCCTAACATTATTAATCGCTTAAGCTCATTATCTACGTGTCGGTTTTGCCTGCAGCCGCTAGAATGAGCGTAAGCATTCCCAGTGATATTTCGGTGTTTCTGCTGTGATATATCCAAACTCGCCATGACTGCCACCCAGGAAGAAGTTGCTGACCCTAAAGTGTTCCTCAAGAAGATTCTATCGGCGCTCTTCTATGCTGTTGCGTCCTTTATGATCACGGTGGTGAACAAGACTGTCCTCACCACCTATGGATTCCCATCGTTCCAGGTACTGGGAATTGGCCAAATGGCTGCGACTATTCTGGTGCTTTTCGTTGCCAAGAAGCTTCGATTAGTCAACTTTCCCAGCTTCGATTTGAGCACTTGTGGCAAGATCTTCCCGCTGCCCTTGATTTACATCGGGAACATGATTTTCGGACTGGGCGGCACCAAGGAACTGTCCCTGCCAATGTTCACAGCCCTGAGAAGATTCTCCATTCTAATGACCATGATTCTGGAGCTGTACGTTCTGGGGGTCCGGCCCATCTTTAGTGTACAGTTCAGCGTCTACATGATGGTTGGAGGCGCTGTGCTGGCAGCCAGCAATGATCTGGCCTTCAACTTGCAAGGCTACATCTTTGTGCTGCTTAACGACTTCTTCACCGCCATCAATGGAGTGTACACGAAGAAGAAGCTGGATTCCAAAGAACTGGGCAAATACGGACTGATGTTCTACAATTCCTTGTTCATGATCATTCCCGGAACGTTTCTGGCCTTTTACACTGGAGATCTGGAAGCTGCCTACAACTACCCGACCTGGAATGACCCGCTGTTTCTTAGCCAGTTTATTTTATCGTGCGTGATGGGTTTTATCCTGATGTACAGTGTGATTCTATGCACGTTGCACAACTCAGCCCTCACCACCACCATCATTGGCTGCTTGAAGAACATCTGTGTCACCTATCTGGGCATGGTGATTGGCGGCGACTACGTCTTCTCCTGGCTGAACTTCATTGGGCTGAATATCAGCGTGGTGGGCAGCTTGGTCTACACCTATGTTACATTCAAGAGAAAGGAACCAGCAGGGGGCAACTACGCCCCATTGGCCAGCACGAAATCCAGCGTGGAAGTATAGTATAAAGTTTGCTAAAGGCCATGAAACAGGGTATTGTAAGAGTAAGTAAATCAGGACGCATAGTGGGCAACAGTTTAATTGATAAATGCTGCTTAAGTAGAGGATTAAGAAGCGACATTGATTGCCTGTTAATTGATGCTGATGTTCTGTTGATTAGTGTAAACTTGCTTTAACCTTGATTGATTAGATTAATACCTATATTTGGATATTATCCAATGTTGATTCTTAATGACCTCAGTTAATACCTTGGTTGAAGAACCATATGTATATAGTATTAATTGTTTATAGATTTCTAGGTGTTTAGTCCTAAAATCCCGGTAAATATCCGCCGAGTATGTACAGTTTATGTGATTGGCATTGTCCGCCTTATAAGAGGTATTTAACAATAATTGTGCTAGAGGTTCACGTTAAGGTTAAGAGTTTGTCTGTGATTTTATTATAATAAATATATATTAAAACCTGCAAAATTCGAAGTTTTCAAGATAACGCGCATTTGAGCGAGAACTCGCGACAAAAAATTATCAAGTGCGGACAAATAAAAAAGATTTGCGTGAAAAATTCAGCAAGTGCTTTTATGAACTGTAACATTTTCAAGTTGCTACGTGCGTTGGTTTCGAAGTTATAAATTTTTCGAGAAAACACGCATTTGAGCGAGATCGTTCATTTTCTGCTCAAAATTTACCAGTGAGGAAAAATCAGAAATTTGTGGGATTGAAATTAAATTTTCAAAACATGCAGCCTTTTTCCACTCCGTGTTTATATTCCCATTGTGCTGTTTTTTACTCCGAGGGTTTGCAGAAAAACACAAATATTCATTCCCTACATACAAATATATTTACAAAGACTTATGGCAATCGGGGCAAGCAAATAACTGAAATCCTACAATAAATAAATAAGTCTGTACATGGAGACGCTCCCTAGCATATACACCTACATCTACAACAGTGTGAACTAGCTTATCTTTGGCTTTTACTGGCATGGGCCGATCCCTACTAATAAACGATTACGATACTCTATCAGTACGCAGTATATAGAAAAATATTGACTCTTTGGGGGCACTAAATGGGTAACGCGTTCAAAATCGCCCAACTCTCCTCAGCACACGTCCCTCCGCTTGACTCTCATCTCGCTCTGGGCCACAGCGATCCACTCATTCCTCGTCCCGTCAAACCAAGTCAGCCCCAAATTGTAGCGCCCGTTCAAGTTGGCGTGCTGACAATGGGAAAACCACCAGCCTCCCTCGTAGTTGCTGGCGCAATGAGTGTTGGAAATGTCCCGGTCGTTGTCCACCGTGGAAAACTCCATTCGATTCTGGTAGTCCATGGCGTCGCTGGCATTGCCATGATAATGCGACACGGTCAGCTTGAAGCCCTGCGTGTAGTCAGCGATGTGGAAGTGATCGTAGCTGGCCTCCCAGTACTTTCCATAGATATCCTTCATGTTGATGCTGAGCTGGGTGCAATTGTCTTTGGTCAGATGGTGCAAGTTGCGGTTGCCCAGCCAGTGTTCGCCCGTGGCGCTTCCGAAACCGTTGCTGTACTCGTTCCAGTTGCGGTTGAAGTTGATGCTGCCATCGTATCGTTTCTGGATCGTTGTCCAGCCGCTGTCGCATCGTGCCAGAATCGGCTCGCCATCTCCTGGGGAGATCAGGTAGATTCCTTTGGGACCGTCCACTGAACCACAGTCTCTAGGCAACTTGTTCACTATGCTCTTGTACTCGCTTTCGAAGCTCTGCAGCTCCTCCACCAGGTGGATGGTAGACCTGGTGGCGTTCACGTCCGTTAGAACCGATTCTTCCTGTAAATTGGAGCATTGATTAGTTGTGGGACATTTGTGGGATTAAGTTATAAACTTTTCAAGAGAACGCGCTTTTGGGCGAAGTCGCTCATTTTCTGCACAAAATTTTGCAAGTTTGTAAAAATCAGAAAGTTGGGGGATTTAAATGCAATTTTGAGAACGTGCAGACTCATTCTGCACAAAATTTTGCAAGTTTAAAAAAATCAGAAATGCGGGGGATTTAAATGTAATTTTCAGAACGTGCAGACTCAATTGTCTTCTTCGGACTGTAAAGATTTCAAGTTTCTACTTGCTTTCGGTTCAAAGTTATGAACTTTTCAAGAGATCGCGCTTTTGGGCCAAAGCGCTCATTTTCTGCACAAAATTTTGCAAGTTTGTAAAAAATCAGGAATTTAGGGGAATTTAATGTAATTTTCGGAACGTGCAACCTCAATTCTCTTCTCCGGGCTGTACAAATTTCAAGTTGCTACTTGCATTCGGTTCGAAGTTATGAACTTTTGAAGAGAACGCGCTTTTGGGCCAAAGCGCTCATTTTCTGCACAAAATTTTGCAAGTTTGTAAAAAATCTTAATTTTGGAGCATTTAAATGTAATTTTCAGAACGTGCAGACTCAATTGTCTTCTCCGGACCGTAAAAATTTGAAGTTGCTACTTGCTTTCGGTTCGAAGTTATGAACTTTTGAAGAGAACGCGCTTTTGGGCCAAAGCGCTCATTTTCTGCACAAAATTTTGCAAGTTTGTAAAAAATAAAAAATGTGGGAGATTTAAATGCAATTTTGAGAACGTGCAGACTCAATTATCTTCTGCGGACTGTAAAAAAATCAAGATGCTACTTGCTTTCGGTTCGAAGTTATGAACTTTTTAAGAGAACGCGCTTTTGGGCCAAGGCGCTCATTTTCTGCACAAAATTTTGCAAGTTTGTAAAAAATCAGAATTTTGGGGGATTTAAATGCAATTTTCAGAACGTGCAGACTCAATTGTCTTCTCCGGACTGTAAAAAAATCAAGTTGCTACTTGCTTTCGGTTCGAAGTTATGAACTTTTTAAGAGAACGCGCTTTTGGGCCAAAGCGCTCATTTTCTGCACAAAATTTTGCAAGTTTGTAAAAAATCAGAAATGCGGGGGATTTAAATGTAATTTTCAGAACGTGCGGACTCAATTGTCTTCTTCGGACTGTAAAGATTTCAAGTTGCTACTTGCTTTCGGTTCGAAGTTATGAACTTTTTAAGAGAACGCGCTTTTGTGCCAAAGCGCTCATTTTCTGCACAAAATTTTGCAAGTTTGTAAAAAATCAGAAATGCGGGGGATTTAAATGCAATTTTCGGAGCGTATAAACTCATTTGTCTTGTCCGGACTGTAAAAATTTGAAGTTGCTACTTGCTTTCGGTTCGAAGTTATGAACTTTTCAAGAGATCGCGTTTTTGCTCCAAAGCGCTCATTTTCTGCACAAAATTTTGCAAGTTTGTAAAAAATCAGAAATTTAGGGGATTTAAATGCAATTTTGAGCACGGGTAGACTTGATTGTCTTTTTCGGACTGTAAATATTTCAAGTTGTTACTTGGTTTTGGGTTCGAAGTTTGAATGAACTTTTCAAGAGAACGCGCTTTTGGGCCAAAGCGCTCATTTTCTGCACAAAATTCCCTGCACAAAGTCCGAAAAAATTATAATTTTTGCGCGATTTGAGTGAAATTTTCAGAACGTGCACTCAACTGTCTTCTATGGATAAAGATCGAGCTTTGCTTTCTCTGAAAACGTGTAATACGCCATCAACCGTAATTCACTCTGTATACTGTACCTTCAGGATGTGGTTGTGGAGGTGGGAATTCTGGACGGCGGCGCCCTTTTCCAGGTTGTCCAGATGTTGGCGCAACTTCTGTAGCTCAGCCGCGTCCTCGCTGTCCTTGTCCTGGAGCTTGGACACGCTGAAGCTGATGGCTTTCATCGATTCTTTGATGTTGTTGTGGTCCTCCTTCAGGGGCGCAATATCAGCCACCATCTGGCCCGTCTGGCTCTCCACCTTGGAGATTTCCTTGCGCAGCTCAGGCAGCGCCTTATCCACTTTGTTCTCCAGCGACTCCACGTTCTCCAGCAGCTCCAGCATGGAGAGATGGACCTTGTCGAAGTTGTCGATCTGCTTGGACAGCTCGGCAATGTGGCCGGTGTGGATCAGCTGCTGCTCACTCAGGTTGTTCAGCTGCTTTTCCAGAGCGAGCACCTGCTGAAGGTCGAGCTCGTTGATTTCATTGATGTGGTTGCTCTCGTGGTTGGATTGCTGTTGCTCCTCCAGCTGCTTGACTCGGTCTTGGAGGAGGGCGTTCTCCTTGTGGAGGGAGCGTGTGGTTTTCTCCAGGTGGACCACGTGCTGGCGCAGCACCCGCTGGTGGCGCGGGTGGCTGCTGTTTTCAGCTGGAAGTGGAAGGGTTTCCTTCTCTTGCAGCGCTTTCATGTCGTGCGCCCATTCCAGTTGCATTGATTTGAGCTGGAAGAGAGTGAAATTGTCGATTGGTTTCAAAGACATGGACAAGATGGACGTGGGTAGTCCTTCATTTGGATTTCAACGTAATTTCTTCGCTCTCAAATAAGGAATTTTGTTTGTGAAAAGGCGCAATTTCTACAGCAGGACCACTCGAATTTCACTTTACAGAAGAAAACGAGAAGAATGGGGGAGACCCTAAATACCGATGTGACGACATCGGGAGGCAGGTGTTGCGCGTCCAACATACGTGCGTTTTCCACCTGCCCACCGCAGCCAATCGCGTGCGAGAAAGGCATATAAAGGTACCCGTATCGGTTTTCGACTGTTCGGGTGCCTACAGGGGCTCCACATTCCGTTCGGCTGTTTAGAAACAGCCGACCGCATTCCGGCCTGTTTTGAAAGCGAATTGCTGTGTCGTCACACAGTCTGCTCCACTTTTCCCCCCATATCTCACCTGGTTCCGCAGGCGCCCGTTCACTTCGGCCATGCTCCTCCAGTCGCTCCTCAAACTGTTCAGCTCCTCTTGGAGGAGACGCATGTCGGCCTCTTTGCGAGCGTTCAGCGTCCGGAAGCGCTCCAACTCGCCGCTGAGGCTGGAAATGTCGCTCTGGAGTAGGCTAATCTGCGCCTGATGGACCTCGTGGTCCTGCAGCAGGATGGAGGAGTTGAGGGTGTTTTGGAGTTCGGAGATTTCGCTGCGCAGCTCCTGAACGGTGTTGGAGAGCCATTTCACTGTGAGTTTCTCGTTTTTTGATTGAGGTGTCGGCGGCGCTACTGTGCCGGTGCGGAGCTGGTCAATTTCCGTTCTGGAACATGCAAAATACGTCTGGGTTAGAGGATGGGGGAAAAACTCCACTCCACTCTACAAGTGTTTGTAGTTTTTCCAGGTCAGTGGAGAATTGATTTTCCTTAAAGGGCATTAGAGTTTATTGGCCGGTGGGGCCGAAATTGATTAAAACCGGCCAATAACAATAAGGTGCGGTTAATCTTGGGTTTCGCTTTCGCCTGCCCCTCGGCTTTCCGGCAGGAAATTAGATACGTAAGGGTGGGCCGCATGGCATTGCATCGCCTAACTAAGCGGCAAATTGCCGATTTGGGTTTCCGTAACTCAATCAGCCTGCCAAATTGCGCAAGAAAATTTCCACTTGAAAAACTCACTTTAAGCTCCTGACTTGGTCGCGTAACTCCTCCACCTCGGGGCCGTTAAACACTGTCCTCCGCACGCTCTCCTCAATGCTCCTCAAGTCCTCAGTTCTGCGCTCCACCAGCGCCTTCACCTGTTTGCTCAGCACCCTCAGATCGTAGTCGGCGTCGCCGATCGCGTTTTGGGCGCCGATTTGCACGAGCACAACACTCACGATCACCGCAAAGGCCGTAGATCTCATGGTCGTCGTTTGTTCTTGCCTCAGCCGAGCTCGTCTGAAGACTGAAGCCGCTCTGGGGGGCTCCGATCGGTTTTATCGCCGTCGGAAGGGAGATGGGGCGATCGGGGTGGGCGCGGAGCGAGCGAGCGAGAGCATGGACGAAAGGTGTTCGCAGGCAGGTGTTGTTGTTGAAGTGGCGTTTTGTTTTATTTCTGGCCCTCTCAGATGACCACCGAGTTGATGAGAGTAGGAATTTGTTCCGGGCTCAGTTTTTTTCGGCGGTTTTGGCGTGAGAACATGGCGGGATTCAAAACCCCGCAAAATATTTTTGCAATTATCGGATCTCCACACGCCGTTGGCCGGCCGAGCAACTCGACCATGTCCATTATGCGGGAGGATGATGGACTTCCGACCTATTTCCGTTAAAATAAAGAGACAAACGGCCGTTTTTTCCCCTTTGTGCTTGCCGCACAAAACCACCTGCGGAATACGTTGGGTTTTAATGGCATAGTTGGGCGCAGTTGGGCGTGAAAAGGGTTCAGAAAAAACTTCCACTCGGAACTTTTCACATCGACTGAAAGTCAAAACCTGAGTTGAGTGAGTGGAAAGACCCGAACAGCGCCCGATTTCACCTAAATTGACCCCCTGTTTGGGTTCGCTACAATGTAACCGTTAATTGGTTGGGATGCATTAAACAAATTCTTGCATGTACGTGAAAAAAGGCGCATCCCAGTCGGTTGCTCGCTTGAAAAAGCGAGTAAAACCAATTTTTACCTGAAAAATATTGTGGAACCGCAATATATCGACTGATTATTTGGAATGACTGACCAAAAACACAACATCTGCCGCTCGTGTGCGTTTCAATGGGCCGAAAATGAGAAGTTCGACCTGATTGGTTTTATCTCGTCTCTTCGGCTGCATGGCCTATTAGTTCCACAGCTCAATGGGCGCAACAAGTGCGATTTTTTGCTGTTTTGTCTGGCCGACCAGCAGCATCAGCTTGGAAATGCACCTAAATTGATCTGCTGGGGTGGCAGGCCTTGAGAGGGTGGTAACTAACGCATATGCTGTAAGACAATTTTCAGCTGCGACAGCTGCAGAGCACAAGAGCCCGCACGTTGGACGGCTGTTGGACGCGTGCCGATAATCTGTTGCAGTGGCGGTACCAAAGTCGCGCTTGTTTGGGTTAAGAAAATTCCCGGAAATTCCCTGAAAGGGGATGAAAGTCGAAACTTGTTCCACTTATAGAACGCACTTTGCCTTGTAAAACGCACCTGCAAGTAAATTTCAAACTTTACTGGTTTCTGGGAAAATAAATGCCAAACTTTGGCCTGCAGAAACCGGCACAAGGTTCCATCGGAAATTTGCAAAAAAATCTCTAAAATACCCTGATGATGACTGAAAATAGAAAATGTTTCCTCTTATAAAATGCGCTATGCCCTACCTACCTGATTCATGCAAAATTCGATACCTGTTTTGACTAGTTTCAGAAGAGTCAACTGTGAAACTCCGGCCTCCCTAAACAAACTCTACAAAAATTCTGAAAATTCCTTCAGGATGACTTGAATTCGAAACGTTTTTCCCTTATAGAACAGACCTTGTCCTACACACTTTATACATAAGTGACTCGCTAAGTTTTCTAGATTTTTATGAAATAAATGCCGAACTTAGGCCAGCAGAAGCAACTTCAAAACTCGAAGGTACCTTCAAAAATTTACTAAAAATTGCCTGATGATGGCTCAAGATCGAAACTTTTTCCGCATTTAAAACGCGCTTCGGTCTATAAAATGCAGTCGAAAATCAATCTTCAGCTTAACTGGTTTTTGGGAAAATAAATGCCAAACTTTGGCCTGCAGAAACTAGCACTTGATTTCATCGGAAGTTTGCAAAAAATCTTGGAAATACCCTGATGATGACTGAAAATAGGAATTTTTTTCTCCTATAAAATACGCTATGCTCTACCTAATTCAGGCAAAAGTCGATGCCTGTTTTGACTAGTTTCAGAGGAATCAACTGTGAAACTCTGGCCTGCCTGAACAAACTCTAAAAAAATTCTGAAAATTCCTTCAGGATGACTCGAATTCGAAACGTTTTCTTCTTATAGAACACACCTTTCCTACACAATTTACACATAAATGACTCGCTAAGTTTTCTAGATTTTTATGAAATAAATGCCAAACTTAGTCCAGCAGAAGCAACTTCAAAACTCGAAGGTACCTTCAAAAATTTACCAAAAATTGCCTGATGGTGGCTCAAAATCGAAACTTCTTCCACATATAGAACGCGCTACGGTCTATAAAATGCAGTCGAAAATCAATCTTCAGCTTAACTGGTTTTTGGGAAAATAAATGCCACTTTATCCTGTATAAACAAGCAGTCCATCGCAAGTTTGTGATGGAAAAATTTATCAAATTAGCCTGATGATGTTTCAAAAGCGAAATTTTTAGCACTTATAAAACAGACAATGCCCAATAAAATCCGTACAAAAGTCACTCTCTAACTTAACAGGCTTCTAAGGAAATTACTGTTAAACTCCGGTGTGAATAAGCCAGCGCAAACTGCGAACCAAATTTGAACAATTCTCAAAAATTTCCTGAAGACGATTCAATATTGAAACCTTCCACTTATTCAACAGACTTTTCCCCAGAAATGAGATTCAAAAGTGATTCGACAGTTTCTCAGTTGCTGAGGAAATAAATGTGAAATTACGACTTGCTCTCCTAAAAACATGAATTTTGAAACGCAATTTTGAGCGCAAATTAGCTTTAAAAGTGAGAAAGTAATTTTTGGATGCATTTTGTAGGACAAAGTCCCTTCTAAAAGTAAGTTAAATTTCAAGAAAATTGACACATTTTCAAAATTGCGCTTAAAAAATTTGTCCAGTTTGTTGAAACTTAACACACAAACAAAAGAACTTCGTCTTACAAATACATCCAGAAATTCCTTTCTCACTTTGCAAGATTGAAACTTTTCACACATGCAAAGCAGATTTTGCCCTACTAAATTCAAAGGAAACTCTATCGCTTTGCTGTTTTTCGGACAATTAAATGCCAAAAAAACAAGTAAAAAGTTCGAAGGCCAAGGAGAATTTTGAAAATTTGTCAAAAATTCCTAAAAATGACAAATTTCGAAACAGTGTTCACTTGTAAAATGAACTTTTCCTACAAAACGCATCCAAAATATACTTCCTCACTTTGTATAAGCAAATTATTCTCAACTCCGGCCTGCAGAAACCAGACGGGATTTTGAAAAATTTCTGAAAATCGTCTGATGTTGACTGAGATTCAGTACTTGTTCCACTTATAGAACCGGATAGAAGAGCCTGTGCTTTATAAAATGCATGCAAAAAGCACTGCCTAGTTCTACTGATTCCTGCAAAATCCAATCGAAACTTTTCTTACCTATAGAACGCACTGTGCCCTACAAACTGCATGCATTTGAGAAATAACCACTGGCTGCGCCTCTGATCTTGCAAGCTGCAGCGGTCGGCCCTAAGTGAGACATGCCCGCATCTGCCCCGTTTGATAAAGAAAACTTGTTGTCGTGCATTTCAAGCCTTCTTAATGGCAAATAGTCTGGTCCCATTAATGTCCCTAGGGATTTGCGTATAGGTTCTTCCCTTCTATTGCCGCTTGGCCTTCTATCAGCTATGACGCTATATTGTGGTGTTGGACAAAACTGTAAAAACTAAACCGAGCCTATCAATGAAACTTGGCAAAGATTCAATTGCTCCTGCTGTCGGCCGGCAGCTGCTGGTCGACATCAGTGCACATTTATCTCAAAGTGAGCGTGTTAAGTAAGCATTTTTTGCAGGCGATGGACGACGAAGCCTACGAAATCTCCTCGGAACTGTATGAGGAGCACGACTACACCTCCAAAGCCAAACCGACAATAAACCCCAAAAGTATGATCGCTGACTTGACCTAAAAAAAAATCAGTATGCAAAACTGGGCTTTCTAGATGTGGTCAGCGATTTTCACTTCGAGCTGCCCAGCTACCGCCTGACGGACAAGGAGGGCGACCTGCTAGTGGCCAGGAACAAAACCCAACTCTCCCAGTGCCTGGAAATCGGTAAGTGAAGCCCGATTCAACTGCCTGGGTATAGGCAGCAGCCCCTTTGCTCTAGAACACAGCTACAGCACCAGCCTGGACCTGGTGGGTTTGCAGCTGTGGCGAGGATCGCTGCTATTGGCCGATTGGCTGCTGGATAACTCCGCCTCCTTTGCCCCACGCCACTCCATCCTGGAGCTGGGCGCTGGAGTGGGGCTCACCTCCGTGGTAGCTGCGATGTTTGCTCCAGTGATTTGTACAGGTTGGCAGGTTTTTCGCGAATTTCTGCGCCTAGTGAGATCATTTGGGGTGTTCCAGACGTGGACCGGGGGCAGATTTTCCAGATTATCAACGCCAATGTGAATAGGAACCGGCACTTGGCCAAGCATCCGGTTGAGGTGCTGCAGCTGGATTTTACCGCTGATGGTTTACCCGAAAAAGTTCTAGCAGCGCTGCCGCAAGTGAAAACTGTGATTGCAGCGGATGGTACGTGCCCCCTTTTCTGTGCATATTTGTACGTTGTGATTGGTGCAAAATGGTTTGTTGATGGAAATCGGGTAATTTTCTAGAACATCAGGACTTTGTGGGCGCTGTTAACAATGTGCTCATCTTATAGGAAAACTTGTGAGCTAATTTTTTTGGTGGGTTGGTTGCGAAAATGAGGTTTACGACCAGTTTTTTTTATCAAGTAGTAAAAAGTAGTAAAAATACTGCTATGAAGAGTTGTTGGCATTATTTTCGCTCAACCTTTTAGCGCCCACAATCCTGTTTGAGACCGTTTTTACAGCAGGAAATGTTTTTTTTTAGTAGTGTACGATGACCGTCTTACAGAAGCTTTTGTTAAAACGGTGAAAAAAATACTGGACATTCCCCCGAGCAGGAGCGTGCTGATCGCTCTGGAAAAACGCTACGTTTTTACCATTAGCGACTGTGATACGTGCGCGCCTTGCTATGAGCATTTCCTGGAGCAGCTGAAGGTCTTGGGCAACGTTACTATTGAGGCCGTTCCCACCGATTTTCCTCAATATTTCCGCTATGATCGCTGCAAAGAGCTGGTCCTGTGGAAGTTGACCTCAAAGTTCTGAAACCAGTCGCTGCTTCAATATATTATTTTTTTATACATAAACTACGGGACTTTGCGGTGCTTATTGCCCTCAACCTCTTTTCCTGTCGCTGCTCCATAAAACCCTGATAAAAACGGCGCTATTGCCGCTTCGCTAAATCCCCAAATGGCATCAGTGCTTTGAAGGTAGTGTAGTCTAGGGTTATGTTCCTCTGTGTCAGCGACCAGTGTTCTTTGATTTAAGGTAAGTTCCATTATTCCCACACAAAAGACTTATAGGCCCTTTACAGTGTTCCGGCCGAAGCCCGTCCTAAGAAGAATTGACTGTTGATGCCTTGGCAAGCCCTGTTTTAGGCCCCCCCTAGTTCACCCACAACTGCCCGTTAAAGTAACCACGGATTTTACGGCTGTTTGGGCCCCAAATGGGGGCTAATATTGATGCAGTCCTTTGGGGGCTGCCACCGCCATGGGAAACTGCCTCACCAGTTGTCTGCCTAACAACAGCGACAATTTCAACGCGCTCTCGAAGTCGGGGAGCGATTTATCCGCCCTGGTTGATGAGGTAATGAAAATGAGGCCCCACTATTGCCAAAATTCGGTTAATTGATCGCATACTTTTTCGTTTAGATGGATGACGCTGCTGCGGCCGACAAACGGTAACAACTAGTGTTTGCCTGCCTCCATCCATCCTGCAATCATTTCCGTTGATTTTAGGTGTTTTATCTCCAGGCTGTTCCACAGGAGGAAAGACAGAAAAGAGGTGAACACTGAATGGAACTCCGTGGGCTTTTGATGGAGCTTAATTGCTTTGTTTCTAGAAGGCCTCAACTGGTGTGGTCGCGATGCTAAGGCCGCAACTGTCCTACCACAGGCTGTCCGAGTTGCCCAGAGCCTCCCTCCAGAGGTACTAAGACGTTTTATTCAACTGCGCAGATAATGAGGTACTTGCTCTTCAGCAGAGACATCCAGCTGCAGTTTCTGGACGCCAGGGCTTTGTTAAGCAGCGCCAGCCTCTCCACTAGAGCCTCCACACCGGAAAACTCTCTGGAGCTGGAATGGGAGCACGAGACTCTGCCCTGCTCCATCATCCATGAGGCATCAGGCAGCTCTTGGTACTGGAAATTGGGTGGTGTTGCAGCTGGATTTTTTTAACCGACCAAGTGTTTCAGGGCAACTTCCATATTTCCCGAAGACACTCTGACGACTCAGGCCAATCGCAGTCCGCTGCATGCCGTCAATGTGACCGAATCGGACTATTCCAGAGTGTCGTCATCGGCTAACAGTCTGGAATGGGACAGTGTTCAAAACTCCGTGCATTCGGAGGTTTTGGACACTGACACCCAGTTCCTGCTGAACGAAATAGATAGGCTAACAATGCAGGCGCTGAAGGAAACCGGAGCTATTCAGGGCGACGTAAGTTATCTGGACGATGCGCTTTAATCGAACGATTTTCCCGTACTCACAAGACTGTAAAAGGATGTTATAGGTACTAAAACCAAAGGTATTTTTTTTAAGAACCCAGTACCATTTTGTATGCTTTTACCTCACGCTGTGTTACAGTTTTAACCAGTCCACGAATCGATGTTCGTTAATGTTGTAAATACTACGTGAATGTGATTATTTTAACGCAGTTAAACGCCTCAATATTGTTAAGTTTGCACCATGTGAGTTACATATATGATAGAAGTATAGCAATAATGGCCACCGGAGTTGTGTTGGGACCAATTGGATTGGGTTGCTCTCCTCTAAACGTTCGAACGCATCATATCCCAGATTTTCGTTAACCGGGCACATATCACGCACGTGAAATGAATGGAATAAAATAGCTTTTTCAATCTTATTCGTTTATTGCTAGGACACGTCCCTCGTTTTGTGGAAGTTCGTAAAACACCAAAACTCGTTTGCCAGATTGTTGCGATGATGGGGCTCGAACTTGTGCTTCTCCAAGTCCAGCAGCCTGCTCGCCAAGTCAGCCATTATTGCCCCTTAAACGGAACAGTCGTTAGCTACAGGGGACTTACCCATTGACTACTGTTGCTTACCGGTGCTTAATATTATGCGCCTTTTTGTAAGGAACTTCATTGTAACCGCCGTTTTCGTCAGACATTCGTCGGATAGAAATGGAGGGTCGGCCACTACTATGTCGTAGTAGCTGCTTTTATCTCGGGGGATGTTCAAAGGCGACCGATAGTCGTAAAAGACAAAGTCGCCCCCAAACACTGCAAACCTCCGATCGAACTCGAAGAGCGTCACTGAAAAGTTCGCTAAGTTTCACTTAGGCCTGGGCTGCAGGCGTTTTTACCTTCGGCTTCGGGCCCTGCCCGCTGTTTCATCTCCGTGTAAAGCGTCGGGCAGGAAACAAGGGCGATTTTTGCGTTCGTCCCCACAGCTTCCAGTGTCATATCCACTAGTCCCTTGATCGTGCGTTCGTCGTACCAAAACTGGCTGAGTTGCTGCAAAAGCCGCTCTGTTAGAAGAGCTTTCGCGGCTGGAAAGCCCCTAATTACTTGCCCAGTCCTCACTAAAGTCCCCTTTGACGGAAACATCACGTGCAGACATTTCCATGGCCTCTCGCTCCTCTTGCTCTTTGTAAAACTCCTGCAGGGCCGCAAAAGCGCTGGCCGACAGCTGCGGCAGCTCACTTTCCTCGTCCGAAGGCATGTTTTCAGCCCCTTTTCCTAGCAAATGCTTAACCTCACTTCAGTCAAACTTTGTATTTCACGACGTTGTCACGGTTTCTTGTGGAGTTGAGGTTAAATGCCACTGACAGTGAGAGGATTTAATGAAAAAAATAAGATCAAAAATTAAACTAGTTGCAGTAGCACGCTATGTCTGGCTTGGAAGGGGCCATACAGGCCCTACAGGGCTCGCCCACCCCCAAGGCCTTGGTGAAGGCCCTGATCTGCATTCGCCATGAAGTGGACTGGCCCAAAAAGAGACAAAACGTTGTCCTGCTCAGAACTAAGGGCGCCCTGAAGCAAATAGCTGCGATTCTACTGGCCACCAACCAGAAAAGCTGCCTGGATTTGGCGCTGAGCATCCTGGGCAATTGCATGATGGAGCGGGCATGCACCAATGAATTAGTAAGTTTGCTCTGTCCGCATTTTGATTTGGTAAGTGATGGTTTGTGTAGGTGACCCAACACGGCATCCTGTCCATCCTGAGCCAGCTGCTGAAACGACACGCGAACCAGGACAGTATCAATGGAAGGACGTTCCGAATAGTCGGAAATATGTGCCATCATCGAGACCAATGGGCTACGCTCATGATTAATAAAAAGCCCACAATAGTTTCGCATATAGTGAAAGTAGTGCAGGCCGCCTCCAAAGACCAGCTGCCTGATGGGGAGAAAATCAGCGAAGCCACCCTGGTGACGGCGCTGAGGGCGCTAAGGTAGTAAAGCCTTGAGTGATCATGGCCCTTTTTGAAACAAGCAATTTTTTTCCAGAGAACTTCAAAACAGCAACACCGTGAAATGTTTGGTGAAGCAATTCGGGGCTCTCAAGGCTGTGGGCTCCCTTTTCATCAAGTACAGCGAGCGATGGCAGGCGTGCAAGGAAAACGAAAAAACACTGCTGGACATCATCCGGGTGATCCACGAGTATTCGCGATTTAGAAACTACGATTCTATTCTAGAGGTGCCGTTTTAGCCTGCGTTTTAGCCAGCGGAACTAACGATTTTTGGGGCGTTTTCAGTTGAGAAGTACCGATAGAGGCGACTCGCTGGTGCATTTGAGCAGCATCCTGATTCTGGACCCGCGCAAGATCGTGAAAATCGTGATGAACTTTATCAAAAGCTGTCAGTTGCAGTCCGAGCTGCCCATTCCCGAAATCTGCACCAAATTTATCGAAGTTCTAGAGGAGCATTCCATTGTGAAGGGTACCAGCCTGGGAATATTGCCAATAGCAGTTTTATAAGCCTGGTGTTTTAGAGTTTCAGGGCCAGTGCACCGAGTATTTGCAATGTCTTTGTTACCTCCTCGACCATCCAGCCAACCGCAGCCTGGAAAGGTGCGGCCGAGCCATTCCGTTGCTCATCAAGGTTCTGAGCGATTTCGACGAGGCTTCCAATAACATTGTAAGCCGGACATTTGAACAACCCGAGCGCTCGGTTTTAGGGCGGTTTTGCTTCCGTTTCAGGTGAACTGTTGCATCATTCTCATCCACACTTTGAACAAGTTCAGGTACGATGATAAACTGATTGCTGAGCAGCTGGCCAATGACATCATTCCGGTGCTGGTTGGGAAGCTGGCGTGGCTTGTTGGGCCTCCTGATGTGGTCAACTTCAAGCACCTCAGCGAGAAGAGGCGCAAATACACATTTTCCAATTCGAGCATTGTCAAGAAACGGCTGCGTTATCCTGATGTAAGTATAGGATGGAAACGGTAGGATCTACATTGTGTCCACGTATACTAACCTGGACGCACTGTTTTCATTGGTATATTTGGATTTCCAGACCTTGAAAGAATGCGGCAGCAGCCCAAATTCCAGCGACGATGAACTGGAATTTTACCGGAGCTGCATGAGAAGTCCCAGTCCCGGATCCAGCTCGGACAGCGACAGCGGAAACGCGCTGTCCTGGAGCGAAGGCGGCATCAGCCCGAATCGCTCCCTAGCTCACGGTTGGTGCGCCCCAAATCACCTCGATGCAAATTTTTATGAGGCTGAATTTCCAGAGTCGGACTCAGACGATTATTCGCCGGTCTGCAGTGAGGTGGACGAGGCGGATTTTGGAGCACACGACCACGATTTCCAGGACTTTGGCGAGCTGGACGAAGTCAATCCGGCGGTGGAGGAGGCTGGAGATGCCGCATCTGAGGACAGCAGGTCGAACGTGCGCCGCTCCCTCCAAGTGTCACTCTGCCATGAAATCGTCGCCCTCATCAGGTCCTACCTCAAAGTGCAGCCCCATCACCCTCATCTGGCCAAAGTGGAGCTGGTGATGCAGCTGACCAAATGCGCCATCAATGAACAGTTCGACGTCAAAGACGTAATCTGTGAGATTGTCAAGTGAGTTGGATGCCGGGGCTGGGATGGGATGGACAATGCCCAGTTTTCTTTAGGTGTGGGGAACATTTGATATCCCTGATGCAGACCAACTACATCCACACGCTGAACGACATGCGGAACATCCCGGCCAATCACGAGACCTGCTCCCGGTGTCTGTTCAACGCCCATTTCACCTATCGCATTCTGAAGAGTTTCAGCGAAACAGCGGAGTCGGGAGCTGGCAAAGGCGACATCGCCCATAAGTTGATGCGAGGCGACTGGAAGGTCAAGCAGAGCTTGGTGCTGGTGATTCCCTACATCATAGCGTAACTTGCCCAGCTTCTCATCGGGGGCCGGAGTAATAGCTTGACGGTTTGCAGGAATAGGTCAATCCTGGGAAAACTGATGCTGAACTGCGGCGGCTTGGACGTGCTGATGAAGCTGCTGCAGGAAAACGACGGTCAAGACAATCGGCGCAGCCTGAAAGTGCTGGTTCAAATGGCCCACAGTGTCCTGATCAACAACCCGAAGTCGCTCTCTGTCCGCACTATGGGCTGGCCCAAGCTGGCCATTGGCGAGTATGAGCTGGCGGAAACTTGCAGCAACGTGGTGTCGTTCCGATTGGATGACGGCTGCCTTATCCCATCCGACCGCGACTTTCTAGTCAAGCAATCCGACTTCTTCAAAGGCCTCCTGGATGGACACTTCAAGGAGAGCGAACAGGCTGAAGTGGCGCTAGCCGAAGTGGAGTCCAAGAGCTTCAAGTGTCTGCTCTTTATCATACAGGCGATCGAGCTGCAGAAGCCATCCAAAAACATTGAAATTGTTCTGGATCTGGACACTTTGCTTGATCTTATCTCGCTATGCGACCGCTTTCTACTGAGCGATTTGTGCTTGATCATCACAGACACAGTGCAACAGTTTCATATTGCGGTGGACACAGTGCCGCTCATCTACAACTGGAGCGTGGAATCTGGCACCAACTTGTTGCGGATCGAAAGCGTGGCTTTCGCCCTAGTGGCCTCAGTCGATGATCGTGAACGTTACGCGATGATTCAGAAGCTGTTCGCTTTGGGGTACAAGAAGCAGCTGCTGGGCGATATCGATACGTTGCTCAGACGCTATCTGAGCATCAGCGACTACAGCCCGCTGCGAAAGTCTCATGCCATCAAGCGCGACGCTATGAGAGAGATGAAAGAAAGTCTGTTGAAATATAGGCATTGATCTATGTTCGTAAGTTTCAGATGTAAATAGCCCATTTTGTATATTGTAAATTGCAAGTTCGGAATTTATTATTATTATCAGCTATTAAGAAAACGGAATATTTATTTTTTAGGCGTGGTTTTAATGAATTCCCTGAAACATAAAGACCGTCATTGGCACCAGTTATTAAGCTGGGAGCGCGGCCTTTATCGGTAAGTTTTCCATTTTAAACAAGGGTCTGCGGGTGGAGCTAAAACAAACTGAGAACGGGATTGGAAATAAATTAAGCGGAT